CACATGATTGTGATACAAGTATCTACTACAAGCATTTAACGAAAAGTTTTGTAAGATCATGGTTCGATCAAGGTTTACCAAGAACACTATTGCATGTGGATTGAGCAGAAACCTACATTCGTGGGGCTGATCTTTATTCCGATTCCAGCTTGTGAGATCGTGGAAACGTACAGCCGGGGATTAGCATAACTGGATGAAAACCAATTATACAGAAATTCCAATGGTGATGCAGACAAGACCGGTTTGGGATTTAGGCTGCGAAAATAAGAGAATCTTGATAAATGCCGTATCTTAATGTTTAACTTATGATCTATGATACCAGACTTTTCGTTGCTTTTGTGTAAGTTATAGGAATTAAGAATTCACTTTCAAAATATTCACATCAAGACGAGAAGAAACCATTTGTATTCATGCACATTTTGGTAGGTCATACAAATCAACGGATTTCATAATTCTACACCAAGTATTTCTTACAGAGATACACATATAACTATCAGACACAAACCAACTTATATCAAATCATTAAGTTTAGTTTTATCAAACTCAATTAGTCGACAGCGTTTGATTGTGATTAGTGCTGTCATGAGTAGTTTGTTTCGATTTGATTCTCGATCGGATTAAGTTACTTTTAAATAGAAAGAGAGATTTTCGAATTGTCATTCAAGCAATTGTTAACTGAGAAACCAGTGATAACGTTGATGAGTACAGCAGTAGAGGAGACATTTTTTCACGAGAATCTTTTTGTTCAGCGTGAGGGAATAGAAAATTTCAAGGCATAACCTCTCCGGCAGTTCAAGTTTTATTACTATTGTAAGGCTTTAGAATATTTTAACCTTGAAAAGTTAAAATCATATCCCCACTGTTTCCGTAGACATAAGGAAATGATATCAGACTTCGATAAATAACTCTGTGATCTAATGTGACAGCAGTTAACCTGATCGAAATTTATCTTATCACATAATATAAAGCTTCGATCCGGCGGATACCGTTCCATTTGTGATAGTTTACGGGAGTTGTGTTAAACAGTTTGCATGCCTTGCCAATAAAATATCTAACTCTTTAAACACTATGAGTTGAATGATATTTGTGTAGATTTCAGTGTCTTTTATTGATAGTTAAATAATGTGGATAGATTCAGATATGTTCTATGACAACATACAAAGAGAAAGTAGTTGGTAGATATGACTGTCTTTTTAACGATATCAGAGTTTACATTTCAGTTAGTATTTAAAAATAATGTACATTGTTCAAACTGTTCAGAAAGTTTGTTGAAGAAAAGTGTCCACACTGAGAAAAGTGAAACAAACCAACTAACATGGTGTCACTCAATTTCCAAGTGTTCGTCTCGATCAAGTTAGTGTTTGACAATTAATAAAACAAGATCGCAACCAAGCAGCTGAACATTATCGAAGGTTATCGTTGACTTTGTTATCCTACATCTGAAATATGACACAAATTGAATGTCACACACAATTGTGATGTTATTTTACTCCAGTCTGTTCATCAGTCATAAGCATTGCCAGCATCTTGGAAAGCATGCAAAATGCATGATACTCAAAATTGGACTACAAATGTTACATTTCACAGTTCTTATTGAGTTAAACAGTTAAATAGTGGTAATCGATCAAAACTCTATTATACTGAAAACACACAGACTGTGTATACCGAAGATTGACGAATCCTCAGAAACAGAATGTCAAAACTTCCAAACTACAAAGTAAGAACCAACAAAATCAACAGAGCCGACAATATTATCTGAAAGCCTATAAACTAAGTTTGTATTCTTCTCTAAAATATTTGAGTTTCAATCCATTTAAATCACTTTCAAATTGCTGGAATGGAGAAAGAGAAGTGTTCATAAGCTTTGTTTACCAAGAACTACATTTTTTCTGACTTGAAGAATCTTGACTATTTTACAGTGAAACATATTGCTTAAAAAACACTTGAATGTTTATGCTTTTCAAGAGGTTAAAATCTTAATGAGGAAAGCTCGCTTATCTTTCCATTTTTGTGGAGTTAATTAAGTCAATTTACCAACAAACATTTGAAGCATCTGACAGCGGATTAGGTTGCGCAATACCATGAACTGATCGAAGTTAGACATTATTATCTTTAGATGCCGACTCAGTTGTCCTCAGATTATGCATTTGCGCGCACGACTGAAAGCTGTTTATTCGATTCCTTACGGGTAGTGAGTGTTGCGGTTGAGTACTGATGATTTGTCGTATACAAGGATGGAACATTCGTTTTTCAGTGCATCAAGATTTTTAGTGGTTGTCAACAGTGATTGATTCATCATTTCAAACATTCGCGACAGAACCAAGCATTCATATTTGACTCATTCGCAGGTCAAAATGGCGAATAGTTTGTAGCATCGCGGGCTCACGCAAAAATAATCGTTTTATTCGAAAAATATTGTAAGATGAAATACAAGCAATATTACCTCATATATTCGAAGAATGTATATGCAACATTTATTGTGAACACATATCATTCAGAGAATAATCATATAGAAAATAAATTTTAAATATTTGATTTTTCGAAACTGGAACATGTATTGAACTATTTTTGACCAACAATCTGACCTTGTTCTAATGGCAGAATGATTATACGTAGTTACATGTTGTTGTATGAATCATGGTAACAAAATGCTGCACAGAGATTATAACAAACTTGGCTCTGTAAATTTCGAATCTCAGTTGGAATGTAGTCCATCGACCATTTCTTTGGTAATTGTAAAGTGAATACTGGTTTCATGCTAAACTAGGATATAATTCATGTTCAAGGAGGTTTCAAAGTAGATGGCTATCCGTTTTACTCCACACATATTAGACCAACAGAATCTGATAAGTCAACAGGAATTGAAATGTATCCTGTCAGCTTTTGTGAAACCGTAGTTCACATATGTGAACTACAGGTTATAAGCAAATCATTATTTGAAAAATCTTTCGAATTAAGAACAGCTTATCTGGTAAGCAATAACTTCTTGTACCACCTTCACAAAATCAATATCATCAGCATTACTTAAATTTTCATCATTCGATTACTTATTTGTTCATTATAACAAAGGGTTTTATCTGACTGTTGAAAAAATCGATTGTGATCAATAACTTTAGAGCATATTTCTTGGAACATGTAAATATTTTGAAGGTTCTCTTAGATTTGTGACGTGTCACTCGGTTTTGGCAAAATCATTTGACAGGAAATTTAATCGAAATCAAGCAGTCTATCGAACCCCGCCTTTGTCAAGAATTAAACAGTGTGCACCGATCGATCATCTTTTCTGGACAGGTACATATGTTGATGATTCCGCATTCAACTCTTGTTTATCGTTGATACCAATATATGCTACTACTTATTCACGGTACTTATTCTAAAAGGTTGTCTGGTAACGACAATTGTGTAATCCAGGTCAAGCATTAGCCATGACGCATGAATTGGTTGTTCACTGGGAGACCACAGTATTCTCGTCAAACTCGAGTAGTCCTGAAACCAATCTGAAATGGTGATCTACGATTTGATTACTGACAGGTGACAGGTTTACCGAAATGTGGTCACCGTTTTGATCGGAATTCGATAAAGCTCATTTTGGTTGAATGTTCAAAATTTTATTACTCGAATTTCTGGTTGTCGACTGATTATCTGTCATTTTTGCCGACAATAAGTGAAATTATCACGAGTCTTATTTGTCAACCTGAAGTCAATGAATCGACTGAAAATTGGTCCGGAAAAAGTTCTAACAATACATTAAAATGGTTTGTCTTAGAAATGGATAGGTTACTTCCCCACTAACCAAATCGGAAAGTGAAATTATCGATTATGCTGACTTCAGTGATTAGCCTGCAGTATTGAGCTGGGTCTAAACGGACTGTCAATAAAGTGGTCGCAACTGAATTGAAGAAGTAATTTTAGCTTGAACAATTCGTGACTGAAATTAATCGTATGATGGTAAAAGCAGACACTATGCAAGAATAAGAAGAGTCAGATAAACCGAATCAAACCTCTAATTTGATTTAGTTGTGTATATCTCTTTTGAAAAATTTTGCCTCGGACTGTACAAAAATTGATGAAAACCTGTGGGTAATACTTTCCCCAATGAAAAATGTAGATCGATAGTGGAGATCGAAACGTTCGGTACATAATAAACAAGATGACTGACGTTAGAATTAACAGACTTCCGATGTCATGTGATGATGTTAGGGATTGAGCGAAAGTTCGTAATCGGTCATTATTACTGTGAGAAGGTGATAATTCACCTCGACGCTGGACGGAAAAATGGTGATAAAACCAATATTCTGGCTGGTCGATATGTTAATTGGTAAGTAAATAGCTCCCTAAATAACTATTCAGTCGATTCTGTTGTTGGTACTATTGACCTGCATTAAACTTGACAAGGCAAAATTTAACATAAAACACTTTCAAATTTTTATATATATCAATGGATCTATAGAGTTGGCGAAGAGAACTGATCATAATTTAATTAAAGCAATACTGCACAATGTTAAATATGGAAATAATATTGAATCGCTTTTGATTAATAGAGGAAGAAAGCTGCAATAAGGCAAAGGATATTTTGTCTACCCCGTGATAGGACTAGAGGATACTTTCGAGACTTTGAAGCCGACCTGTCACGTTCTTCGAAAACTGTAGACAGAGTGCAACTTATCACAAGACATGAGATATTGCAAAGGAAAGGATGTTGCTAAGTGAAACTGTTCCACAAACCTAAAAAGCGTAAAACCATGGTTTCTTCAAGCTGTCCAGCTTAAATGAGTATAAATTATTGACGAAATCACGATAAGGTGATTGAAGCCAGAATTCTTTGATTCACTAAACTTTAATAAAAACCAAGTGCTGGAATATAATTACAGCTGCGAATTAACTGTTATTAAATATTATTAGAATTATTCAAAAGAAGTGATATATATCGAATACAACCTATATTTTTTGATACAGGGTAGGGTATACATACAGTCAATGTGACATCACATATTATCTATCTAGTCAGAGTAAGAGGTACACTGTAAACATTCCCATATAATGATCTTGTTGTTTTTCTGCAAATTATAAAACTGCACGGCGATCGAATAAAATATGAACAAATATGTTGTTGATATCAGAACAGCATACAACATATATTTCGACGGAAGCATCTTTTGAGAATATTCCATTTTCAGTTGTTGGCCGATAAACAGCAGAAACTGGTAAAAATTTTCAATAAATAGGAAAACGCGCTTATTATTACAGTAAACTAGAAATATGGTTCTACTAAATGAAGTTAAAACTTATAATCTTCACATGTAACTCAACATGTATCTTTGCAGAGGTCCAACAACTAGAGTTTCCGTGTTTTCAGTCACTGAATCAGTCATTTTACAACTAAAATTGTATACTTGGGCATTTCCAAATGCTCTACTTATTACGTTCCCTTACATTTTACTCAAGGGTCATCTTTCATGACTATTCTGATTAGTCCCTGTTCCCAGTTATCAAAAATGTTGAAATAAGCTTTATCTGTTGTAAACACAGTGTGAACGGGAACAGATTTCATAATTATTTCAAACAAACTTCGATTATGAATTTCCTGTAACAGGTCTACTGATATTTTTAAAATAAAAAATATGACAAGTTAAATCATGACATGTAATCCCTCGTCATTTGACAAATTCATGATGAACGACAGCATAAATTATCTTACAGTCTGTACAATATGTCATTGTTAAGCGATTGGTCAAACAATTGTCAATTGTCCCATCACAACAAAATTTACTTTTTTATGATGTTTAACTTACTGGTAAAACTGACAAGAGAAAAAATGCTCCCATCACATTAAGTGCGACCTGACAAAAAGAGGAAAAAATTATGTGAAATATATAATCAAGCTACGGATTACGCTCAGTGATTTCCGGTTTACAATTTAATATGCTTAATTTCCGCATTAGTGTCTATTCTAACAAAAACAGTGTAGTTTTAACATCAACTGAGAAGTGTTTGCATGAAAAATACACTTCAGTTGAAATATACGTAGTGGTGATATATACTTCAAACTTCACAGAATGTGCCTTCAACTACAAATCAAGATACACTAACCTTGGAAAGAATATTTATCAAAGCAGAGGATAAATTGTCACTTTTTCTCGAAAAATATTCAATAAGCCATCAGTTATATCCACTGATGCCAATCAAACATGAATAAACACATCAAATAATCAAATTTTTTTTTTCAATGAATTCTAAGATTGACCAATGTAATCTAACACAACAATCTTATGCTCATTCACACTAAAAATAAAATATGACACAATAATTCAGTTGAACATCGATGAATAAAATCAGTAAGAAAGATAGGTAGATGAAAACAATGAAATTTATGTTAAAATTATTCCACGACTGGTATCTAAGTGTGAAAACATTGTATTCACTCATCTCAACACGGTTATGGGTCAACTGACGACGATGACTTGAGGCAACATTACAGATTATCGTTTATCAATATCAATTAATTAAAATTGTGTTTTGTGAATGAAGTTCGAAAAAAAAGAATTGAAACATACATCGATTGTTAACGCACACAATGTAATCGATATTATTAATCCGACTGCGATGAAACTGACCAAAACAGCAATTAACCAATACGGAGAAATTTTGGCTTTGATTAACATCCCGAGTAATATCATTGGAATTGAAATTAATGAAGCGACAACAAAGGATACGATTATGAATGGGAGTGTGATTCTTAGTATTGATGGGATAAATGTGTAACACAATAACAATATCTAATATTTCAGTAAAAAGAAGAAGAAAGCAGGTTCAGTAGTGGAAAAATTAGAATTCATCAATAAAACAGCTTAAATGAATATCATTACTGGTAACCATCGATCACACTGAACGATTTTCGATTGAAATTACTTTTGACAAAACACAGTCGCACGTTGTACAACAACAGATATATCAGCACTCTGAGAGTTCACGAACTGGAATTCTCACACTTATGGTAGTTTGTAGCATGTGGAGATGGCATGACAAACTTACTTTGTAAACAGTTTTTGATACTATCTGTATTTATTTTGTTAATTTTTACAGCTTGTACATTCACTATGAAATTGTTGTACATTTTGTTTATCTGTGTGACCTTGAATACAACAGGCGCACTTATCTCTCGCTGCTTTCATTTTCCGTCCACTGTACACTAGCACGGCACTCGCCACTATACATTATCAAATACACTTTATACATACCATTACTATTCTCATCTGCTTATTTGGGATATTATTCTTAACCATTAATATGTATGTTATCTACTTTATAGACTGCAGTCACATACACATACTGACCTTTGGAATATCATAGCAAATGGATTATTAAATATCAAAAACTGTGTACAAAATAAGTTTGTCATGCCATCTCCACAAGCAATATATAGATAATTTACCTTAAGCAAAAGCTATCTAGTTCGATAAAGTAAAGCGCTTAACAGGAATGAGCTATTTGATAGTGAAATAATTTAAACTTCATGCAGAATTCAAAGCTTACTGAAAGTTATATATGGATTAAAACAGCGTCTTTAAATCGTCCTAAAGAGATTATTTCAGTCAAATATCTAATATCACTTATTGCTTCACAATACATATGAGCAGGGAATATTTCGAATGCACACACTTCATGCAATATTAAACAGATAGATAAAACTTACATTTAAAAACAGGAAGATATAATTCAATGGGAAACGTGCACGCATACCACGTACAGTGACCATTAGAAGTGAGAATATTATGGAACTTGGTCTGAGTTTAACATTTAAAGAAAATGGTATTTTGTAGTCAATAATTTATTCAGTAAATAACAAGTTAATCACATAACAAATGGAATATTCAATTAATCTATTCAATGTCGTCTTTATTAATTTACAAACTGAATTACATGATTGAGCAAAATCAATAAATAAACTCATTTCTTCAATTGTTATCACAACTAACGCTTGTATGTGGATAATTTTACATAAATTGTGGATTGTCAATTAATAAAAACCTTACATTTGTGGATTTTCCAAAAACGAATAAAGGTGAATAGCTAAAGCTTTCAATGCATTGCTAAATATTGCATCACTCAATAGGAAAAAACCAATTCTTCATTTAACTTAGACCTTATATTGAAGATACTATTTCTGATTCTGCTCACATACACATTGCTATCATACAAATTCTACACTTTCATATTACAAATGTCCAACACTTCACATCTACTACCATGTAAGCTAATAGAAATGTTCACTTCGTGATCAGCAGTCGTAAAAATACTCTTTTGTCAGTATAACTGTTTATGTGACCATAACCGGAATATGATTAAAGCGCATGAACATGGTTTTCTCATGTATAATTATTCAGCTTTTACGAATCACGCAGTCAATCGCTTATATGAAATGTGTATTTAGATTGTAAGAAATACCTAATTATTTTCAACGACTTACATTAAACCTATCAAATACCACCTGTATATACCCATTTGATTACACGATTTGCAACTAAAATAAGATTCATTCAGTAATTAGAAGTGAAACTCACAATTTACAAATAAGTATTGTAGTGATAATAATTTCAATTATATATGCACCAATAAGTATCCAAAACTGAAAGTTTTATTCAAACATTCAATCGATTTCATATGAACATTTACTTTTTTCAAGTCTATACCAACTGGCAATTTCCAAATAGAATGAACATTGGAATGATGAATTTGTTTGTATTTCATTCTGTAGAATTGATTCAATAATCTATAAATACATAATAAACAGAATATCAGTTAAACAAGATTCGTTAAATTTGGGATATATATATAATCACACAGGTGAACATAAGCTTTCTGAGAACACTTATTTTAGTTGAATAATGTACTTGTAGTCATTGTAAGAATTAGAAATATTTCCTAACTTCTTGTCATTGTTAAGTTGCTCCTGAAGGTATGTACTAAAGTTGTGAGATTCATAGACGTGTAAATGTCGGGTAGTTCAGCTCAAATTATCATCGAAAATATTTTACACAAAACAAATTGAGCACAATAATGGATTGTTATTATTACTAACATTTTGTAACACTTTTCGTTTACCAATAATATTTAATCGACAACAATCAATCCTTTTTAATTTCAAGTGGTTATTTGTACTATGTTCTTCTCTAAAATGATAAAGTTGATACAGAAGTGAATAATTACAAAGATTAGAATATAAAGTCCATTCTTTACAAATGAAATTAGATTGTTTCATTGTTTTTGAAAATATATTTATAATGATTGTTTTCATCTTTGCAAAGTCATGGGACATAACAACTTTTAGATACCGACTTTTTTGAATTTTTTCAATGGACATCTCGGTAATTTTATTGATGTTGTCGAAGTATGTTATAGTTTAACATCATGGAGTGATTTATTTTGTCAAACGTTGGAATCCAAGTAGCAACAGACATTTATTTCCACAGTTACACTCCTCAGCAGTGTAACTATGACAAAACTGTGAATCGACATCAGAACCTTCATATCTAGTGGTGTAAAAAATTATCCTTATAGAAAATGTATAAAGCTTGCGTAATCCTGTTAAATAATAAAATCCAAACTCGTTGAAAATCGGATATTATTATATACAGGTTAAGAATAAGCATGATTAAGATTCAGATGCACTAGAAGGGAATCGAAACGGGCAACAAACAAGTAATTCAACAATTATTTTCAAATCCTTTTATTTGTGTCATGATATCTTGAATAAAGTATAACATAACGACCATCACAACCGTCATACCTTGAGGTGTAAGAAAAATATTACCAGGGAAAATGTGTCAGGGTTGTGCAGTTTCATGGATTGAATACAAATAAACATGTAAATCACTGTATTGCATTTTAGTAGTTTACAGGTCGAGTGTTAGGCTCAACACCCGTGGACCCTAGGTTCGTAATACCTCTCCTAAAGATGCAATATATAGAAATTGAACTTTTCTTCCGGTTAAGCAGTACTGTTGGAAATAGTTCCTGATACAAATGGTGATGTGACAACTCTATAGTTTTCACACATACTGAGATCTCCTTACTTTAGAATATTGATGAGGTGTTTTTCTTTTCAGTCGGTCAGTAGTTACGTTTCCTCAATTATTTTACATCTGAAAGCGAGGACCAACTTTGTAGTTGCTTTTATTTCTGACCGTCGATTTTAGTGGGTCCAGCCTGCTCACTAGCTCTTTGAAGCACTGTATCCACCGGCTTCACTGTTCTTGGATAACAGTGATAGGTTTGCCTTCCTTGTTCATAAGTAGTCATCCTGGATTTCGAAAGTGCATTTTTGTATACTCAATACTTTGACGCCTAATAATTTGGAGATATCATACATTTGAGTAAAAATAATGGTCCATCAGTTTATTTGTGATTTGCTGCTTCACAAGACCACCATCTGTTTAAGTGTGGACATTTGATTACCTGCTTGGTAAAATTGAATTCCCAGGTGACTATAACCAAAGGGGTCTTCGGAAAAATAAATGAGTGCCCAAATAACTTCAACGCACAAACAGTAAAGAAATCGAAATTATAACCAATATTCATGTGTAAATTATTTTATGCATACGTTTGTGGGAGCGAAAACATCGCACAGTAATGTATGCATCATACAAAAAATTTAAGACAAACCACTATTGTAGTCATATTTGATAGCAGAATAAGAGTTTAAAGTATAACAGTTTAGGAGGAGGTCACAATTAGGAGCGGATTCAGGTCATGAAATATTTATTCATAGGGGTCATATTCGTGTGGTAAAGATGAAATGAAAATGAAAATTCAGTTGCTGCAGTTGGTGCAAGGAAATATTTTATGATTTTAATTGGACTTTAGGTATCGGCGTAAGCAAAATATTGTTGGTTCTGTTGTTCTCATTCTTCATCCATTATTCCTGACTTTTATTCTGTCATTATCTGAATGCTCATTTTGACTATATCTCCCTCAGGTCTAATTCTTGGTTCTGAATTTGCTCAAGACGTTTTCGATTAGTTGATAAACTGTATCCATTTCAATGAACTTGATTCATCCGTAAAACCATATCGGTCTTCTTATTACCGCCATTTCATAAATGTGGCTTGCCTCGTTACCATGTATAAAAATGTAATTGAAGATTCATTTCATAGCTACTTGATCATTAGTCACTGGATACGGATGGCAGGCAACTAAATAGGTGAGCCCTTCTTCGAATTTAACACTAGCCACTAAAAGCATGCCAAAAATAATCTCCAGCATATTGAAAAGTTCAGTCGAACCATCTACTCATTTTGTCAAATCAATGCGTACAACTACCGGATAAGTTTAAGAAGATTATATTCGACGACGAAGAACTGATAATGTCTTTCAAAGTAGTGATGTAGAGACCGAAAGTCTCGATTCTACTAGTGGTGATGCCAGAAAAAAAGCGTTTGTTATGTAGACGAAATAATTGTCATGACCAAAAGGGTCGCGCTGGAAAGCACTTATAGGCTGACTATCTAAGTCTTCGATGACACAATTAACAGTGATAACAGTATTAAGTGATAAGCAACCATTCTATAATGTACTCGTCATAAGAGCCGATACATGAAGCCCTAAGATTTGGATATTTCAGAAATCAATACACTCAGATCAAGAACTCTTCAAGTCCGGCATGAAACGTGCTTCACTCCAACCACTGTTCTGCCAAAACATCTTCTGATCAGATTTGGAAGATTCACTCCCGACTGGCATGGACTTTCGACCTGTCCACATGCTAGGCACTTTGAAAGAGGCGATCACTCCACGTCTTCACAGAGGCAGGGCTGTTTGCTTTTAGATGCTTGATTTTGATATTTTTAACAGAATATCAAGAGAAATTGTTGCTCGTTCCTTGGTTAATCACGTGCAGTTAGTAGACTACATGCGATCCATTTGCACTAAAAAACCATCAGTAAGAATTTGACACTATTTTCAGTTGACAACTGTGAAACTTATTTGAAACCTAATGCTACTAACTTCTTGTATCAGCTTCGTACTACGTTTTTTATTTCAGATTGTTGTTGTTTTCTTTCTTTAACGAAGGTGAGTGCATTCTATGTTCTTTATGGGTCAGTGGCTCACATTTTAGCTTTCAGATAATTTAATGCTGATCTCTTTATGCTACCTCAGTACGCTGAGTCACCAGGCATAGACCTCTTAGCGTAGCCATATTTTTACCTCTGGCTCGGGATGCGGCGGATCTCGTAATGAGTATCTAGAGCTGCGAGCCAGGGATCTGGCAATAAGGAAGACACGTGAATAGTTGGAAACATGTACCTCGGAATCTATTACATTATCAGAAATTTCATGACTATCCACCATTTCAGGATGTCTTTGCAAGTATAATATAATTTATTAGACATTACCTAAATAGGAGCAACCAAAGATGCAAATTAATAAATAGCAGACTCATTAGAATCGATATTCTTCGTGATAAAACGCAGGCCTCAGCAAAGGTGATGTTTCCTGTCGTGAATAAATAACAGGGAAAAAAGGATAGTCCAGATGAACGTTATATTTGCTGGCATTTCATGGTATCGAAAGAATACCGAAATTGTACCAAAACAAGCAGGCGAAATTTACAGAGCAGCAAAAAGCGAGATTATGACTGCGCAACGGGAAAATGCTGTACAAAAGTGGGAATAAATGAGAAGTTCAGTAAAACATCCACTGATACGGCTGGTTATATTAAGGCTGTTTCTATTTAACCAATTGCGTCTTCTTCGTAAATGTGAAGTTGCTATACTGCTTTGATCAGCCGCTCCCTTCCCAGTTGCTTCAAACGCAATATACATGCATTCAGTTACTTGCAAACAAAGGATTCACGAAAAGGGTACAGGATAATTGCGAGGTCACTGGCTTGGACAGCCAAACACAGGTTTATTCTTGCAAACTATATGATCTATCTCTAATATTCAATATCTTTTTCACAAAGTAGTATAAACAAACTGACTTCTTTCAGCAATACTCTTATCCTTTCGAAACGGTTTCAGGTATTCGGTTATGTCACATGAACGCTTCACCAGCCACTCAGCTTCACTAATTCTAGTCAGCCGACAGTTATTTATGAAGTCTGTTTTAGGTCAGTAGGGTTTTTGGATACCACCAGCCATCACGCTACCAGACCGCATATCAGTTAGTTAAAATTTGGAGAATAATCGGGAGAAAGTTCGAATGTTAATGAGTAGAAGACTTTAGAACTAATTAAATGGATCAGTAAATAGGTAAATGGATTGGCAGTGAAGATCGCGTGAGAGGATAGAAGTGTTGGCAATCGAAAAGAAATGGGGAATAAAAGTGAGATAGAACGAGTTAGTGATCTGAAGAAATGGTAATAGTAATAACTAGTTATTTTTTGGACATACATGCAGGCAGAACGTGTTTAATAGGCGGATGATAATCCAAATGTGAGAACGTGTTTATCAAGTCTTTTATTAAAACTACCTGGTGAGGAGTCAATAGTGATGGCGGCTCGGAGATCATTCCGATATGCAACAACGCTCAATGAGAAAAGTGTGCACGAACCTGGGTATTCGCTGTTTGATGCGCGATTGATGCAGGATGACATCAAGGGATGTGGTGGTGATACTTAGACTGCTCGTTACTTGAGTCCAGTGTGTAAGAATGATCGAATATGCAATGAAATAAATCTTCTTATCCACTTCAGTATATTATACTTCGGCTAACCCCGTCTGTGCGACGGCAGTAGTAAGAAGCCAAATACGGTGTTGCAGATGAATTTATTTCATACATTTACTTATGCAGAAAAACATGAGAAGGGAAGCGTACAAGCAAAACGAAACGAATTTGAGAAGGTGAGTGAGCCTACTCTCTATGAGCTGAAGAGCGGCTAGGTATTTATAGTCAAGCAATAATAGGCTAGACATTTGATAAGCGAATAAGCATCCACACACAATCGAATGTACATTAATCGATAAAGTAATCGATAACTTCAAACCACCCATGTTTGTGGGGCAGAACATTTTGTTTGCTTTCGGCTCTTTAGATTGATGAGACGACTAATCAGTAACACTGAGGTTGCTCTTATACGCTTGCTACTTCTGTGGTTCATGTTTCCAAAACTATGCTGAGGTCGCTATTCTGTCGAGACACCTGCAACATTCTTACTCAGGCGCTAACAGTATGACTTAGAGGTTAGTATTCAATAATAAAGAAAAAAAAACAGTTAGACAGTGCGAGATTTTATTCATCAAATTTTTATTTTTACAAACTCTACTCTTTCAACTAGAATTTCGATTTCAACGTACATAAATCCAGCTTCTTACTTCGACTTCTCTTCTATCCACCTGACACTGCACAACTCTCCCTTCTTTTTGCTGTACTCCTTTATCTGTGTGTTTTATTCTTATATTCCCATAATTTACTTTAATTTAAGTGGTCAGTATGAATTTTATCTTGACTTACTACTGTATTGACTACTTCAACATGACAGGTTAAGTAGTGCTTTGGTTATATATATACATTTGCCACACTGCTGCCTTTTTCTCTCTCTCTTCTCCTTTTCAGTACCCCATTCACGGTGGGAAATCCTTGGCTATTCTAGGGAACATGCACCCTAGGTACATGACTGTCTGGATCACAGCTCGTATCAAGCGCGTTCCATATGACCTTACCCAACGAATTCACTATTGATCTCGGCAAATCGCCAAAAGAACCTATTGTGCACCTTATTTGTACTCTACTATTGAAAATGAGGCTGTACAATACTGTTTCTGTCAGTGACATGGTGTAAATATGCAATCAGAAACTGACTCTTATACTTATTTTAACTGCTATAACTTTACACTAATTGTGAAAGCATTTGTGACAATTTGATCTAGCCTGTAAAGTGGCGTGACTCTTGTAACGTAGTTATTTGAAAATAAATTATTATTATTATTATTACAAATTCAAAATTTTGGTCGACACAATTATCAAATAATTTAAAGGACTAATTATTAAAGTGCAATGAATGAATTGTGAGATGCTATAATGCTTCGGTAAGACGCTCACGTTAGAATGTAGCCAGGAGTATGATTTAGGGAGAATGGAGAGCAATGGAGTTGTGAGCCATAGCTGCATCAACTATGGATATCCAAGATGTGTCCTCTCCCCTTTGATTATTAGACCTAGATCGCACTCCTAGGAGAATGAGAGAACAGACTTCCATCCTTCATCTTTTGGCCCTTACTGGATATCCAATGTCCAATTCTATATGATTAGGAGCGCGCGACCTGCTATTCTTTCCTTTTTAAAAATACAAGCGCACCTTCGGTTTTGATTGGATGGTCAACTTTGAGCTTACTTCCGGAAGGTCGGAGGTAAGGATTTTTTCAGGTTCGGAAATTTCAGGAGTATATCCTAGAACTTTGAAGCTGTACTGGTGAATTTCACACCAAGTTTGGAGAAATGATTTGATCCTTTTTTCCTGTTGAGCAATACGAAGCCTCTTAAAGTGTTGATGGCCGATTTTTAGTGTCGACTGGAAGCTCAATCTCTCTTACTAATCCATTACCAGTATTGTCACAACTAAATCTGTTACAGTGGACGCCCAGTATAATTAATCTATGAATGTAAGGCTCACTGTGAATGTTTTCAGCCCAAACGTCAGGGTTTTACTTTTCTTAACAGCTTGAACGGAAGCTGAGGAAGTTTTCGACCCAAGTTAGATTTGTTCTGAGGAATGAAATGCAAGTGAGCGCTAGTAGCCACCAAAAGTTTGAGTCTTAATTTCTGTCTGCAACAAGAGTGACCACTGGGGTAGCCATCTGCTGTCGTCGTGGCCTGTGAATCGTTATTCGTTTCTAATGATCTTTAAGGTCTTTTTAAGCCAAACATATAGTTTACTGTGTTTGGCTGATTTTGTACCAAGGCTTTAAATGGTGCCAATAAATGCTTTAAGTAGTTTCCACAAGTGTAATTTAGACCTTGTTCCTTTTGTTGACCTACTCCAGTTTTCATGATCCGTTTGCATTTTCTTGACGACCAATACTACGGACGACAATTCAGTATCCGTTTCTTTGGTTGAAATACCAAAAGTAAGGTGTAGTGGAACACTTCTACGAAGAAAACGCGATTGCTGAAAAATGAACATTTATTATTGTACTCGTTTTGTTTAACTGTACCAAGAACACTTCTTGAGCGCAATCTCGAATTGGTCACCACTAGAAAGTCTTGAAGCATTATAAATCCCACATATTTCTAAAGAAGTACTAGTGCAGACAAATATAGTGAACTACAGAAACTCACTCACTACGTGCCATAGAAGGACAGTCAAACAAAAACGCAGAGTTTTGATTTGGTGAAAATGTTGAAAACAAAACTGAATACACATAGACTTATGTTGTCCATTCTCTTTGCACAAATACAGAACCCTTGAAAACATAAGTAATACAAAGTTAGTCTGGTCTACTAACACGCCACCAATTCCGAGTACTTCAGCTACAGAATGGCTGCTTTGAAACAAACTACTGAAGGTCGTCGAAACTACTGAGCGATAGTACGATACTGTGCTCATTATATCATCGTCAGGCCGGTGAGGTGGTGAAATGATCCCACCCTCACCTAAACGCTACTCTTATATCACACTAAATCCCCATTTAGTGTATAAATCTCCTATATTTAGTTGTGTTGGGAATAAAAACAGCTTTCAGAAATGATTCACTTTGCATCGAAAGTAAAATGCTCGACCTGAACATTTGATCGTATCAACCAGGAGATCAAATGTTTAGCATCCTGTAGGAGATAAATGTGCCAACACTTAGCCGACCAGAAAAAAATTATCTAAGCCACTTAAACTCTGCTCCGGGTGCTAAAGGGTCTTTATATTAAACAGTTCTCATGCCTCATGGTGAATCCGTAGTTTCCTCATAAGTCATGAGGCTAATGCTCCTCTTGTAAACTAGAATAACAACTAATGTTGTTACATGATATGTTCGCAGTACGAGAAAGACCAAGAAACCTACCGAAGCATCACTCAAGAGGATTACAAGGAAAATAACCTCGTGCTATAGTTTCTGCTATGATAACCATGAAGATGATATGGGACACTGAAGTCAATTATAAGAAAATGCCTAACAAAGTATTCGACCATTCAGATGGGGTACCTAACCACTAAGATTGGAATGGACTACACTGGATACGAAGGAATCACGAGATGATATGGACTAAGAGGAAGAAACCGAAACGGTGAGAGATTCGCAAACCAAATTTGTGGAAGACCTAACAATGAAACTAGCGAAAGCTGCGAGCGAATGAAATAACGGACAACTGTTTCATACGACTACATAGTTAGCTAGAAAGTCTAGAAATCCAGAGTGGTCAGTTATGAGCAAGGAAGTTAAACCAATCACTGTGATCTAACACCGGTGAAACAGGTGGATAAAGTACTCTGAAGAGCTCGTGAACAGACGAGTCTCACTGAAATCAACGAACACTGAAGCAACACCTCAAAGCTTCACTATACCCCAATAACAATGTAAGAAATCAGCATGACCATCAGATTGATTAAGAATGGCAAAGGGGCAGGATCAGACAGTATGCCAGCAGCAATATCAAGGTTAGAATCAGAAGCAACTTAAACGTTGGTCCACGCTCTCAGCAGTAAGATAATAGCGTAAGAACAACTACTGATAGACTGGAAGGAACGATACCTAATCAATATACAGAACGAAGGAGACCTCATTAGGTGTGACAACTCTAAAGGCATTGCAGTGCCATTTATATGAAGAACAGTTTCCTACAGTGTTGTTGAATCGAAAGAAAAGTTCAGGTTCTTTGTTTTGCCTTTTTATTAGAAGTATTACAAACTCAGGATTGATGGCGGCTAGCGCTTGATCTGTAAATGTCTAAAATACCATCCAGTGATTTACACACTCAACCTTAATGAATGAACGAAATAACGCAAACTTTCTACATTTTCCTTAGTGATTGTTTTCTTACACCGCAAGATTTGAAGGTTATGATGTAGATTCACAGTCTAATGCTACCAGGATTCAAACGTTTGACTAACTAAGATCAGTTCCATGATGAAAATGTTGACATATGTCTTTCTTAGTTCTCAACCTTTAATTAAATTAACTAGTCATCCATTGAAAAAATTTTTAAGAAAAAGTGGTATCTATCAGTTGTTACGTTCTATGACTTTTCAGTAATAAATACTATCATTCGAAATAGTTTTTAAAAGATTAAAATAGTCTTAATTTATATTAAAAGGAATGGACTTTATATTCCGACTTCTCCAAACAATATTTTACATCTAGAACAAGGTTATCATTTTAAATAAGAACATAGTACAATTACCCCCTTAGACTAACTAATGACTGATTGTAGTCACTTAATATTTTTTAAATTGGAGTAAAGGATAATCAGTTTTTTTAAAAATATAACTTTTTATTCGTAAACACAAAAAGATATAAAATGTTAGTATCATTATCAGTCCATCGCTGGAACTAATCAATTTTGTGTAAAATATTTTCGAGTACTATTTGAGGTAACTTAACTGAAAAATACAAGTCTATGAATTTCCCAATATTTGTACATATGTTCAGGAGTAAATAATCAATGACAGGACTTTTGAAAATATTTCTAACTCTTACAATAATTATAAATATATATTATTCATTTAAAATAAGTGTTCTAGGGGAGCTTTTATGTATCAGTTTGATTACATATATTCAATATCCAATAAATATGCTTCACTGACAATTTGTTTATTTTTGATTTCTAGAAAACTGAACCATTTCTACAGAATGCAATACAAACAAATAGATTATTTCAATGTTCCTCCTATGTGGAAATTATCACCTGCACTGAAGGCGATCAGAGTAACGTTTTATATTGAATGGTTGAATTAAAATTTTCAGTTTTGGATACATATTTTTCTATGTTTGATTGAAATTATCCTCACTACAATACTCATTTGTAAATTGTAAGTTTCACTTGTAATTACTGAATGAATCTTATTTTAGTTGCAAATCGTGTAAGGAAACGGATAAATACAAATGGGTTTTACTAGGTTTAATGTAAGTTATTGGAAATAATTAAGTATTTCTGACAGTTTAATAGACATTTCAAATAAGTAGTTCACTGTGTGCTTCGTAACTGGATAGTAAACTATGAGAATATCACGGTGATGGGCTTTCATTACATGCTGGTTGTTAGGTCACATAAACAGTTGTACTGTCAAAAGGCATTTTTGTGACTGTTGACTACGAAACCTGTTTCTCTGTTTGCCTAAATGATAGTAGACAGGAAAAACTGTGACGGTTATAACATAAAAGTGTACAGTTGATTTTATATGTACGATGATAGTATGAAATTTGGACAGAATCCTAGTCGGTGACTTGGACAGGTAGTTCAAGTCGAATGTATACTGCAGTCTTCTTTCCTACTGAGTGTCCGAGAGAAAGGTTCAGCTATTCAACTCTCTTTGTGGTTGGCAGTAAGCATTTCCGCTTTGTTCCTTCGGACTCCGTCAACTTCAGTTAGTCTTATAGTTTTCATTTGTTATTCTCTGAATAAGTAGCTTATACATGGTCAAAAAAAAATTCACAACAGGTCTCAATATTTTACTCAGTGGGATATTAAAAATATATTATATTATATTGATAGCAGTCTACCAATGTTCAATGTACCTAAAATTATCAGGAAAAATCCAAGTTATGATACTGACAAACTAGATTTGTTTATTGATTGATTCTGATCACTCATGTTATTCAATTATTAAATTAATAAAGAAGTCATTGATTGGAATAATTAAATATTTCATTTGTTATATGAGTTATTTAATATTTACTGAATAAAATTATGAATTCGAAATTCGTTTCCTTTAAATCTTAAACTCAGACCAAGTTCCATAATATTCTCACTCCTATTGGTCACTGTACGTGATATGCGAGAACATTTCCCAATGAATTTTATCTTCCTGCATCTAAATGTAAGTTTTATCTATTTGTTTAATATTGCATGAAGTGTGTGCGTTCAAAATGTCTACTAACAATATGAATTGCGAAACAGTAGGTGATAATCGATATTTATGTGGAACAATCTCTTTATAATGTTTTATTAGACATGCATTACTAAACAGTGATTAAATTACATTCTTGAATAAACTAAATATTTGGAATGCAATCAGTAAAATCGTTTGTTTTGAAGATGTTGTTTTGTTAAATATAAGATTTTTGCTTTAAGTTCAGTTCATCCTTGTATATCACCTTATCTTTTGTGCTGTAGAGCTTTTACTCGAAGTAAAAGATTTATGTATTACTTCAGACTGCTGAAAATTTGAACATTTCATTCCATGAATTTTCACAGTGCTGATATGACTGTTTTGCGTGTTTTGTCAAAAGTAATTTCACTGGTAAATCTCTCAGTCTAATCATATAATGACATTTAGAATGATTTCCTTCAAGCTGTTTAATTGATAAATTCTAATTTTCCCACTTCTGAACCTGCTCTTTTTTCTTTTTATTAAAATATTAGACGTTGTTATTGTGTTTCGCATTTATTCCATCAATACTGAGCACCAAAATCACATATACCATGATGTCGTTTGGTGTCGCGGGAGTTATTCTATTTACAATGATTTTACTGGGGATGTCAATCAAATTTGAAATTTCTCCGATTTTGTTGACTGTTGTTTTGATCAGTTTCACCGTCCTCGGGCTAATAGCATCGATTACAACGTATTTTGTTCACCGAAGTGTACGTCTTCATAAAGTTTCTACAAAATATAATTTTAATTGAATAATTTTTTATAATCGATAATCAGTCAAGTTGTTGAGTGTCATCATCTTTATCCACCAGCAACATAAATCTTCATAGAGATGAATAATTACAAGGTTTCTAACACTTATATACCAGTCGGTGAATAATTTCAACACACATTTCATCGTTTTAATGTACAAATCCTTGTTACTACTTATACGGTTTCGATTTCCACAAGTGATATACCACTAAGATAGTGCTATTAGTGCTGAATGATTTGGTTTTTTGCAGAATATTTCTTAAAATGTTCAATAATCTTCTTCTGACAGTATGTTTCAAGGAACAGTTTCAGTCAGTTAACATTTGCAAGATTAGTGGAATGATACCGAATATCCCGTGTAATGTAAAACAGATAGATTACAAATGATTTGCGATTGCATAACAAAACCATTGTATCATTTTGTATATGTATTGTGAATAAGCATTGGATTGTAGCACTACATTATATTTCTCAATCTGAGAATTCATTCGAAAAAAAGATATGAATATTCGATGTGTTTCTCTTCATAGTGAATTGCATCAGTGGATGTAAATGATGGCATATTGAATATTTTTCGAGATAAAGTTTAGGTTTAGTCCTTAATTCTGCATTCATTGGGTTTACTTTGTAGTAGATAGTACATTCTCTGAAATTAGAATTATAAATCACCATTATTTAGAATTCAAGTGAAGATTATTCTTCATGCAAACACTCATCTGTTGGTTGGTGTTGTAAAACTACGTTGTTTTTTGTGATCAAAAACATCAATGTGAAAGTTCAGCATATTTAGTTGAAAACAAGATTTTCGTCGTGAAACCAGTGATTTGATGTATTCTTTCTTTCTCTCTTTTTCCAGATAACGCTTAATGTGATGGGAGCATTTTTTCTCTTGTCAGTTTTACCAGTAAGTTAAACACTAGAAAAAAGTAAGTTTTCTATTATGATGGAACAACTGACAATTGTTTGACCAATCACTTTACAATGACTAATTGTACAGAATGTAAGATAATTTATGCTATCATTCATCATGATGTTGTCAAATGACGAGCGATTAGATCTCATGATTGAATCGATCATATTTTTGATTTTACAAATATCAGTAGACCTGTTACAGGAAAATCATAATAGAAGTTTGTTTGAAATAATTCTGAAATCTTGTCCATTTCACATTATGTTTACAACAGATTACCTCGAAGTATCATGAAAAATAGTCCTAAAGTGAACTCTACGTAAACGTAAAATGTAGAGCACTGAGGAATCCACAAGTATACAATTTGCATAGTTAAATGACCAATTCGTAGATTGAAAACATGTAAAACTTTAGATGTTTAATGTTCGCGAAAATATGTGTTGAGTAACATGTGAAATCTATAAGTTTTAACTTCTTTTGGTAGAACTATACATCTAGTTTACTGTAATAGTAAGCAAGTTCTCCTCTTTATTCAAAATTTTTAGTTAGTTACTGATATTTATTGGCCAGCAACTGAAACTAGAATCCTATCCATGGATGCTTCAGTCGGATTGTATATTTTATGCTGTCGTGATATCAATAATATATTTGTTCATATTTTATTCAATCGCCATGCAGTTTTTTAATTCACAGAAGCAAATCAATACCGTCAGCGGTTAATATTTGCAGTGTTATGTCTATTCATATAAAAGAGGTAATCTGTCATTCTAAATTTAATCTTTATAAACTATTACCAATTTTAACAAATAGAGTTGATAATCGAAATATGTCGTTTCTTCTGAATTTTTTAAAATTAATGTAATATCAGTTATTCATCAATTGTAATTATATTCCAGTACTTGGTTTCACTTAAATTAGTGAATCCTTGAATTCAGGCTCTAACCCTCTCATCTGGATTTCATCAGTAGTTTAGACCAGTTAAGACTGGAATCCTCAAAGTGAACAGGGTTGTATACTACTTAGGTTTGTAGAACTGTGTCAGTCAGCAACACTCTTCACTTTGCAATGTACTACGTCTTGTGATAATTTGCATTCTGTATACGTCTTCCGATTAAATTAGCAGGTCGGATAGTAAGTCTCAAAAAAAATCTTACAGTTATATTACATGTTAGAGTTAAATTGGAACACACAATATCCTTTGCTTTATTGTAGCCTTCTTCTTCTAGTAATAAAATGCAACGTACTACTATCTCCTTAGCTAACGTTTCGTAGTGAAGTGAACTATTCATTTCTAAAACAACTATTTTAGGGTAATGTTTTTACTCATTCCGGACTAATTTAGGGTGTGTGATTGGATTTTCTACCGTAGCAGTTCAATTCGATTCCAATAGACGTATGTCGGACGCACTTTCCGATTTAGAATATAAAAACACAATAATTCTAGGGGAAAATGGTCTATTAATAGAGAATAAATGGAAATACAAACGGTACCTAACAAATTTTACGCCTTCCAATTCAAAATTACTCTGAATGAGTATCGAGGTTCCGAAGTCTAGGTGAACTCCTATACTGCACGATATCAAATCCAAAAATGTGGCGGTAGCCATATTATATCAAATTTAAACAACATATGTACAGTTCAGAAGCAAACATAAAAACTTCAATATAAGTACAAAATATAGAAAGAATAACAATATACAATGATAAAATCTCAAATTGGAATCAAATAAAATACCAAAAATGTCAACAGAAAAAGTCCGTCATGTCATAACAAAAATATGTAAACATGGAGGGATTTTCCAAAACACAAAACATTCCAAAAGGATTCTACAGGGTGAATTCATTGACTTCAGCTTGACAAATCAGACTCGTGCTAATTTCACTTACTGTCGACAAAAATGACAGATAATCGACAACCGGAAATTCGAGTAATACAACTATGAGCATTCAACCAAAATAGCTTTATCGAATTCCGATCAAAACGGTGACCACATTTTGGTAAACATGTCACCTGTCAGTAATCAACTCGTAGTCAACTCATCATTTCAGGTTATCTGTGTCGTTAATATCAGGACTACTCGAGTTTGACGAGAATGGTGTGATCTCTCAGCGTACATCAAAGTTATGTCTCAAGGTTATTGCTTGACTTGGATCACTCCATAGTCATGACTAAGTGACTTATTTGAACAAATACTCTGAACAAATAGTAGCATCTATAGGTTTCAACGATTAACAAGAGTTTAATGAGGAATCAACACTACATGTGTCTGTCCAAAACAGATAATTGATTTGTGCGCGCTGTTTAGGTCTTGACCATGACGGGATTCGACAAACTGCTTGATATTGATTCAGTATCCTGTCAAATG